AAATGATGTAGGTTTAAGAGTTTAGAACATTGCAAGAGTATGGGAAGTATTTATAAAGCCTTAAAATATATATAAATACAAAAATAAATATAACGTCACTACTTCGCACATTTTCACATATTGCGGGGAGGTCCGGAACATAACCCCCGCAATAAACGAGAGACTACTGTATTAAACTATTTTATGCATCTTTAATGCACATATGACTTTTTTTTAATGTCAACACTGAAATGTTATACTTTTGTGTCTCATCAAATTTATGAATTTATTTACTCTAGTTTATCGTTATTTATTGTTATTGTTGTCTATACGTTCTGTCTGTAACAGGTCTCTATTGTAAATGAGTCCTCGTGGCTCAACGAGACTCACCTGTATAAATAAATGTTGAATAAATATAAAAAACTGCCATAACTGCAGAATTTTATGATGTTATTTGTTTCTGGCCAACAATTAGACGATTGATTGGTTTAACACACATCTTTAACTTTGGGTGTTTATATTGTTATTAAAAAAAAATATGCAAAAACTGCTTTGGCTTTAAGTAGAAGCCTCAGAAACAAATTTCCAGAAAAAAAAAAATTATGTTCCAGCTTTTTTAGAATCATGTTTTAAATATTATTATTTAGGTTTCTGCCACGGTTTTCTTGTTTTTTGTTGTTTTATCATTTCTTTTGTTTCACGTTGTATTCCAGTTTCTTCGCTCAGCTCTTCTGGTTCCTCAACATCGTAACACCTGTGTCTCATCAGTTATTAGCACACCTGTTCTCACTCACCAATCAGCCCTCCCATCAGATGGAAGCTCTTTTTTTTTTTTTTTTTTTTTTCCATATGTCCCATCCAGTCCTGTCATGAGCCTGGTCAGCCCTAGTGTTTGTTACACTTCACTTGTTTTGTGGTTTCCATATTAATAAAGTACTTTGGGAAGTTACTTGTGTGTCTGCACTCTGAGAACTTCATCAGCCATCTACCACCCCAAACGTTACGATTTCTGCACCCATGTGAACAAGCAACAATTGTTTCAAATATTAATGATCACGTGTTTCTGATTTTATAATGCGGTAATTTTAGGAGTAAAATAATTTAACCGATTTATAGAAGTATAACTTTTACTAAAAAGTGCTTACTCTTCCTTACAATTAATTGATATTTTAATGGTACGCTCATTGATAATAAAAAAAAAATGTAACATTGCCCGTTGTCATTGTCAAATAAAATTTATAATAATGATAATGACTCCACAGATTATATAATTTGCCTTTTTTATTCCACAAAAACTAAACTGCATGAATAAATGAAGACAAGGAATATGAATGGACATATACACAGATAAAATTAGCTAATTCCTTTGATTATAATAAACTCAAGACATACACATCAGATTTATATATATGAATCTGAAGAATAAAAGGTTTAGACCTTGTCTGCATATTAATAAAGTTTTACAAAACATCCAAGAAAGTTAGATCCTCTGGACGGTTTCTTTGCATTGAAATGGTTTGTCTTTCATCCAAAGGACTTCATCAGTCTAAGTAGCCGCAACAAACTCAGCCCCATAAGTCGCACACTCACATAGTGGGTCAACCAGTTTGATGGTGATAAAATGGTATATGGAGTCCACCCTCTCCCCCGCTGACTCCTCTGAGGCAGCCATGGCCAAAGTGGTTCAAAACATCAAAGTTCATACTCAATAATCCAGGTAAAAAAAATCCAACAAAGTTCAGTCAAGTTCTCTGCATGGGTTCTTTGTGTTGAAACATTTCATCTTAAATATTTCATCAGTCTGAGGAGCCACAACAAACTCAGTCTCATAATTTCAAGTCTTTTGGATGAAAGATAAAATGTTTCAACACAAAGAACCAATCCAGACGACCTGACTTAACTTTGTTGGATTTTTTTTTTTTTACCTGGATTATTGAGCATGATCTTTGGTATTTTACAAAACATCATTTATTTTGCTTCTGAAAATATTGTTGTAAACAAAACATTTAACATATTTCTAGAAATATCTGAATCCACACACACACACAAAAAAAATACAATGAATAAGACCGAAAACTTTGTAACAATTATGCTAGGCCCATGAATGGTGCTGTAACTCTGCAACAAAAATTCAACAAAAACAGGAAACAAGGCATGGAGCATGTGCATAAAGCCTAAATGCTGAGTGCAAAATGTAAAACACAAAAAGAGGAAGAGTGTGAGTTTGAATCATAAAGGTGGGGCTTTGAAAGTATTGTTTTTAAAAGGTTGCATTTTGGCTGTTTACACAAAAACACAAATGGGTATTTAAAATGGTATTGTTTCGTTACAGTGCCCTGGGAGAACTTCTATTGTGACTTGGTGCTATATAATCAACTCAATTGAATTGAATTGAATAAAAAAAAAAGAAAATCCACTCTAGAACCCATTTTTAAAAATACAGTTTCGGGGTTGCTAAAACATTTAATCAATCAGGTCTCTCTTGTAAATGAGTCCTCGAGGCTCATTGGGATTTACCTGTCTAAATAAAGGTTGAATGAATTTATGTGTAGGTGCAAGACAGAAACCAAAAAACACATTTGCGTATTCACAAAACACTGTTCCTGTGTGGATGGCTCGTAAAGCTTTGATATCTGATCGACAACTGTTTGCACATGTAAGCTGCCGTAAAACCTCACAGAAAAAGAAGAAGAACTGTTTGCACATTGTATTTACAGGTTGTAGAAATAATTATATATATAAAAAAAAGTACAATAAAAATATTAAATAAACCCAGCCTGTTTTAACTCTCCTGAAAAATATCTGATTCAAGCATATTATTGGATAAAAAGTAAGGATTCACAATAGCAACAAAAAAAAAAAAATCAACTTTAATATTTTAGAATACAGTAGTCGTTTATCACGGGGGATCCGTACCCTGATGACCCACGATAAGTGAAAAACCGCAAAGTAGGAATAGTAGTACAAGTAGTAGTTTATATATATATGTATATATATGTATATATATATATATGT